CCAGAAAAGAAACGATGATGTACGTGAAATTCACAGAAGAACGCTGTTTAATCCGCATTCTTCAAATGCCAATGTGCTTCCAAGAAGCATCCGTGATCACGAGTGCGTTTTATTTCTCATTTGGTACAATCTCTTTTAGTTTATGAACCTAACAAGATGAACTTTTGTAGAAGAGTAATCTGGCTGGGAGATCTGAACTTTCGGATTAACTTGTCTTATGAGAAGACACACGAGCTTATTGCAAGAAAGGAATGGCAGAGGTTACTTGAAAATGACCAGGTGGTTTATAAATCACATAGTCCTAATGTTTATGTTTTTGAAGGTTACGTATGTATCAAACTTTTGATATCATGATATGTCTTATTATTTGGCAGCTTTCAAACGAAATGAGAAAAGGCAATGTCTTCGAGGGATGGTCAGAGGGGGATTTATGTTTTCCACCGACATACAAATACGAACTTGATTCAGAAAACTACATCGGAGATGACTCGGAATCAGGAAAACGTAGACCGGCCTGGTACTGTTTTCACATTTTACAACATATTTTTTGTTTTTACGCATAGAAAGGTCAAAAGTGAAATGTGTGTTGATCAGGTGTGACCGCGTCATTTGGAAAGGGAAGGGAATGAAGCTTCTTAGTTACAGAAGGAATGAGATTAAGCTATCGGATCACCGGCCTGTCACAGCCACCTTATTGGCCGAGGTTGAGGTTTTATCTCCATGGAAACTTCAGCGTGCGCTTGCACTCACTTATGCCGAGATCCAAAGCCATTAAGCTTGTAAGGTCGCCTAAAACCCTTTTTTAGGTCAGATAAAATTTGTACAAACTCCGTCTTGCGTAAGAGAATACCACATATTATTTGCAATTTGTATATCTTAAAAGTATTAAAATATAAGTCATGACTTCACTTAGAAATTTTATTAAATGAATTCTATTAAGACTAATAATATATAGAATTTTTAAAAGATTTTAATCATAATATCTTTGATGTTTTTCACTTTAAATATAAATATATTTATTCAAAAATTCTAACAAAAATTTTTTTAAAAAAAATTACAAGATTTTCATTTTCGATACTATCTTTAAATATTTCCACTAATTTTGAAAATATTTTAAAATATTATTATACATTAATATATGAGCTTGTTACAAAAATAACTCAAAATTCCAAGTCAAACAAAAGATTAATTTTTTTTGGATATTTCATTTGCCTAATCCACCCCAAAATTTTTGATTATTCACGAAAATGCCATAACTTTTTTTTCGAAAATGAGTGTTTTACTCTCTCATCCTCATCTTCATCAATTAATCATAAAACTGTCATTGGCATCAATTCACCCAACAGCTATGAACAACCAAAATGAAGTTCTTAATGCATCTAAAAAATAAATTTATTCATTTGTTTTTATATCTTATGCCCAAAAACTACATCTCTCACTTTCTAGCTATATTCATCCAAAAAAATCCAAACTTTTTGATTCTAAAGTTTTTAAGGTCATATAACCATTCAAACTCACGATTTCTGGTCATTAACGATTGAGTAGTTGTTCGGGTGAAGTTGTGTGTGCTTGGAGTAGTAAGCAAGATCTCTCAGTGGTTATTGAAGGTATAAATTTATTTTTTCCCAGATTTTTCTCTAGAAGACTTAAGTGTAAGTCTTCTCCGTGTAGTAAAAAAATAGGTTAGTTTTGCAATTGACTTTTTGCGTGTTTTTTAGAGAAACCTATTGTGGAAATTTTTGAATTTTTTTTGTTGACAAAAAAAAATTGATAAGACCTAGCTAGAGGTCTTCTCAGATAAACAAGTTAGTTTTGTAATTGACCAATTTGTGTCAGAAATTTGACTTTTAATGGAAGACTTCCAGATAAGTCTTCTTTCGGCGGAAGACTTACTTGGAAGTTTTCTGTAGAAAGTCAAATTTCTAACACAGATTGGTCAATTGCAAAAGTAACCCTCTTTATCCGAGAAGACTTCCAGATAAATATTCTCAGGTATTTTTGTGAATTTTTGTATTACAAAAGTAAGCCAATATTTACAAAGGAAAACTTCTCCGAAAGTTTACATTTGCAAATTTTCAATTACAAAATGATCTAAACAGAAGACTTACCTGGAAGTCTTCTCCCAAAAGATTTACCTAGAAGTCTTCTCCCGGAAAACTTACCTGGAAGTCTTCTCCCGGAAAACTTACCGGGAAGACTTCCATTATCGGGAAGACTTCCAGCTAAGTCTTCTATGACAATGTATAATAAATTTTCATTTTCTTGAAATTTAAATTGAATTATGTTTTAGACAATCTATGGGGTTTTGAATGAAATTCATAGCTTAATTTATGATAATTATGAAGTTATTAATATTTATTTTCTTAATGTTTCTAGTTAATGAGAGAAGACTTTTCTGGAAGTCTTCTATCGGATTAATTTTAATTTTTTGACCTTGATGTTTTATCTTTGCTAGTATTCTCTAATTTTATTTTTGCAGATGATGCGTAAGTTACCGGGTTGGTGAAAGATGAGTCTTCGGTAAGTCTTTAGAAGTCTTCTGTAACTCTTCGTAAGTCTTCAGAAGTCTTCCGTAAGTCTTTTTAGGCATATATCTGCTTTATCCTTTGTTATGAACTTATCTAGTCATTTGTTAATACAAACCTCCCAAGGGTGATGCACTCTAAGTTGGTAAAGGGGATAAACCTTGCTGCTATGAAACCGTAGAGCTTCAAAGACAAGGGATGTGGATTGAACGGCACACAAAGGTTGCGGAAATTCCTTTGATTCACCAGTGGATCGATTCTCTAGATATTACACACCAAAGAAATCGACAGCTTGCTGGATATGACACACCAACAAGGAATGGATAG